AAGCTGTTTGCTCTGCGGCACTTGGGCTACACCTCGTTGGGGTAGGCCCAGCTGCCACTAATAGTAATAAATGCTGCAGAAAGACTAAAAAGAAAAAAAAAAAACCCTTCTCTAATAAGTGCAAGCCCCCAAACCCGCGTGAGCCCTGTGTTCTGTTTAATTCTTTCCCAGGAAAAGAGGCATTCTGCCGGGAACTGCCTTTGTCTGAATGAGAGATCCAAGTGCCTGAGGCATCTCGGAGTTCAGAGTTGCTCTTCGTTGCCCTGGGTGGCAGGTAACAGTGGGCTCCGGCCTCAGCTGAAGAGGAGTTTTTCCTGCAGGCCTCTGTACGTTGTCCTGCCTGGCAGTGACGCTGTTGCTCCTTGCTGCCCTGCCAACCCTGGGGCAGCCTTCGCTCCTGGGGAGGGCTCCCTGCCCGAGCGCCCCGTGGTTTTGCCTGAGGGATGCCTCGAGTCAGGGGTGAGGAGCCTTTTGCGAATGGTCCTGCACTTGGGGAGCTCTCCGTGGGCCTTGGCCACGGTTTAGAAGGGCTTTGGCCCAAGCAGTGCACCAGACCAAGCACCATGACAGCCTGGCCTGGTTCTTTTGTCAGAGTGGTTTTAAATCAAGCCTTTAATGACCTCTATTCTCTTCTGCTGGTCAGTGAATTTCCTCTCTCTGCCTTTCAGATGGGCAGGGCTCCGGAGGGCAAGAATGTCCTGCAGGCTGCTAGAGACCTGCTCGCCACGAGCCCGCCTAGCAGGCAAGCAATCCTCCTGGGAGCTCCTTGATTTTCATTCTTCACACCCCACTCACCTTGTACTCTGTGACAGGACGGCAGCCCTGCATGGGCCAGGGCAAGGTGGACACTCACCATGACTAAGTGTAGACTATTTCCTTGGAGTGACCTGCTGGAGGGCCTCAAATTAACACCTTAGCCCTGGAAGCCCAAAGCAGCGGTGCCAAGAGCCAGAGCAGGGCTCTAGGATGTCAGCTGGGATGGAGCAGCCCATGGATTCCTAGGGGAAGGCAGGAAGCCCTTCCTTAGCACTGACTGTATCCAAGTGTAGAGAACAGTGCAAATCCCTGCGGACTTGCTGGTTCTCAGCTGGGGCTTCACTTCTCTGTGAGGCGGTGGATACTTGAGCAGCTCCCACGCGGCCAAGCGGG